ATAATTCTTTGAGTCAAACCCAAAGTAGCACGGATCAGAAATTCGAAATAAAATTCCAAACGTATTAACTAAGTAAGTTCAAATACGTTCAGTTTGTATATTCTCATGTGTAACTAAAGCTGTATTTGATACCATGAATCGAACGCGGGAAAAAGTAAAAGCATCGGATAGTCACTCTTTCGAATGATTTCCTACGACTTTTACTACATTGCATATGTGAGTTATAAGCCATAAAAAAACATAATCTGTGGCATATATTTGCCTCGACTAAAGCGATGAAAAGCATGTTTATGTTTTATGGCAAGTTTAAGGGCAAATGGAAAGAATAGATTAAAATAACCATGAAAAAATTGAATTTTTTTGGTGAAAATAGTGGGGAGTTTGTAGCAGTTTGACTTTGAAACTATCTATTTAGCTCTGCATTTGCAAAGAAAAGATAAAAATAGAAGAATCTTCATTTCATGCCTAAATAGCAGAAAGTAACTATATGTTCATTGCCAAGTTCATTTGTAATTCCTTAAGATTTAATGTACTAGTATTTTATTTATTGCATAAGATAAAAAAAAAAAATATTTTACAGTATGTTTACAGCTAATTTGTTAATGTTAATATTTTTTTTTCTTTTTAGTCTTATATAAATAAATATGCAATATTATCATCAATTTCTTAGACCATTTTTATGTTGATTAACAGGCTTAAATGTGTGTTTCTTTAAACTTGAATGCTATGTAATCTTACATTTTTTTTCAATTCGATTTATTATTCAAAGGAAAAACAATTCGCCTCTCATATTGAAAACATTTTTTCGGCCACTTATATAATACAAAGAACAATTCATTTAAAATAATGATGAAAATTATTAATTATTTGTAATAATGAAAAATTAAGGAGTCTTAAGAAACATTCCCTAGTTACGAACATTTAAAAGAAGAAATGATTCTAAATACTCGAAATTGGAATAAAATGTCGTTAAATTTATTTAAAATTTACTTCATATTTAGTAATAAAGAAATATCTCTGTGATTGCTAAATGTTTATTTTATATTACTTCAAACTGTCATAAAATCTTAAAAAGAAAATATGTTAATTATCCCCAAGTATTTTTCCTTATTTTTTATTATATAAAATATTATAACTGAAATAAAAAATGCACCCCCTCCAATCAATTCTAAGACACTTAAATGAGTATTTAGAATATAAGACTATATTTGAAAATTCGTACAAATTCTTTTTATAGTTTTTTCTTGCCAGTAAGATGGAATTACATGACACTTTCGTAAATATATATTTACAACAGGTAAATTGAAATTTTTTTAAACAAATTAATTAAATGTGTCTTTAAACCGAACACCTTAAAATTTTAAAAAATATAGTTGAATACTCTGTATATTAATAAAATTCTTCATAATGTATATAACAGAGATTATATAACTAGAATCAATAAATTGCAACTTCATTAGAACAATTTTATAGAAAATGCTTAAGAATCTACAAGAATTTAATTCAAAGAATACAAATATTTTAGTTCTAATTAGAAATTAAGATATATTTATCTCAGTGCCATTTTTTTTTCTCCTTATGTGTATTGAACATTTTTTCTAACACCAACGTAAATTTAAGAGGGAAGATTATTAAGCAGAGATAATTTGTTTGATTATGCAGTGATGCAAAAATAAAGCAGAATCCGCTGCTCTAACAAGCAAACAACTGTTCCTTTAAGCCTCAATAATTTTCTAAGCCTTTTTAAAATTAATTAACAACATGTAAAAAATATTTTTAATCTGTGTATTAATTCATGATAACTTTAATTTTTAATCGTTAAATTCCAATCAATGCAAGTATAAAATATTATGGAATTCCTATTTTAATATATTACAAAAGCTTTTACAAAATATTACCACAAACCCAGAGCATAGATGAATGATTCTTAAGCAGTGTTCTGAAATTTAAAAAGTAACCGATGTTTTCTGCTTGTAGTAAATGCATGTACTATGTTTTGCTTTACATGTGTGTACAGTAGGAAAACATGTACCAGTGCAATTTTCTGTGAATGTAAAAAGAGTTTTAGAATTGGTATATATATTTAAGCGAAGTTAATATAATAATTATAGATTCCATATGGCAAGTTTAAGGGCAAATGGAAAGAATAGATTAAAATAGCCATGAAAAAACTGAATTTTTTTGGTGAAAATAGTGGGGAGTTTGTAGCAGTTTGACTTTGAAACTATCTATTTAGCTCTCTGCATTTGCAAAGAAAAGATAAAAATAGAAGAATCTTCATTATTTATGATCTTCAAAAATCTCAAATGAGAACTTTCACATTTTGATAAAAAATTCATATAAAAAGCGTGAAAAAGCACTTAATAAAAATTTGACATTTAAAGAACAATAATAAAATGTCAAAAAATATGGATACTATTTTTTTATTTGGTTTTTAGCAGATTTAAAACTATCTATTTAAGTAAAATGAAAGTTAAATGCACAACAGAAACTTAAGTGCTATAAAAAACACTAACAGGGGCGTTAAACTGTCCTTAAAATGTAATAAGATAGTTTACTTTTGTGATATTGTATGAGAATTAAGCATGCAGGAATGCATACATATATTATATATATACATATGTTTAATATCCTTATAAATATATACATAAAATAAATATTTATACTCGTATAAATATGTACATAAATTTATACGAATATAGTTATTTTAACCATAGTTATGTTATTATTTTATTAGGAAAAATACATTTTTTAATTATGTGCTGCATTAGCTTTAAAAGCGAAATATTATTTAACTTCCTTTTTCGATAATGCATGAATGATTTGATACTTTTAATTAATAAATACATTTTATTTACATTTTATTTATTATTATAATTCTTATTTAAATATAGTTGCTTAATCAAAAATACCAAATAAGTAACTAAGACTGATAATTATAAATTCTTTTGATTCATCACAAATGAGAAATCACAAAATAAAATTTCACTTTTCTATGCATTTAAGTACTACTTTGAAATATTTCTCTTTTTTACATAAGTAATTAAGTCCAACGCAATACATTTATTTACATTAAATAAACTCGCAATCCAGAAAAAGAAATGAGAATAATTAGTTTTCCTGGAAATAAAGAATCTTAGAAATACAATCCTTCATTTAAATAACCAATTTGTGAACCAAAAGGAACATTTTTGATTTCAAATTTACGAACGTTAATAGGAATAAGATTTCACATGTAGTCTTTTATTTTGATGCATCATTTTTTAAAAGAAATTTTAAAGTAATTTCATGTATATTAAAAAACCTTATTTAATAATATTATCTGCAATTTTTAAAAATAGCTTTTTTTCGGTACAGGATGATAAATTTTACACAGATGTTAATTTTTGCTCTTGATAATAAATATGCCTTGTAAATACCACAGTCTGAAAAAGCAAATTTATATTAAATGTATTTTATACTTATAAATAAGAATTTATTCATAATTATTTATATGTTGTTGTCACTAATGCCACTTGTCTGACGTAGTCAGATCGAGACCCACGAAATTTAAACGTGGCAAGGGGCTAGTAGTACGTCAGTCGTTGGCCTTGGTCTTGAACACCATACAGTTGACAGTATGAATTAGCTCGGAGAAATTTCCCGAAGGAATGATAGATGGCGACACCATCTATCTCCACCTTCACAATTTAGGCATGAAACTGAAGGGGAGAGAAATATTCTCCAGTCCCCTGCACTCGTGATTCAGCCACCAAGACTTTCGAACCCACTGATTTTACGAGCACTTACTCCGTTTGTCTAGCTGATTTAATTTCTTCTTAATAGCACATTCTAAAAATCACGAATTTAAATTTAATGATAAAGAAAAATAAGCATTTGATTGGGTAAAACACATTAGAATTTTCTAAATTTTTCTTCATTGTGATCATTCTCATATTCATTATGATGATTCCACGATGATGTATGCATTTTACTTCAAAATTCGATGACAGATAATGTGCTTCACCCAGCATATATTATGAGTAAGAAAATTTCAGAAACAAAAACAAAATATAGCAGCTATTCAGCACAACTAGAGTTTAAGCATTAAAAATATTGCAGTACATTTGTTAGGAAAACATTTTGAAACTCTAATTGAAACGCGCTTACGATGGCATTAAGGAAAAAGGTTTGTGTACTCGGATAAAGTGATGGTCATCTCTAATTAAGGATTTTGATTGTTGTTGTTACTTATGCCACCTGATCGACACTAACACCAGATCAAAGGTCACGAAATTCATCGCGCTCAAGGAGCTAGATTTTTACGTCTGTCGTTAGCCGTATTTTTTGAGCAGCATACAGATGACAGTAGGATTTTAATTGGTTCCATCCAAATTTTGAAGGAGAATACGCTGGGGTAGTCAAGAGACTTCCACCTGTCTTCCCCTTCCTTCAACCTTAGGAGAGGACTGGTGGCTTGACGGCTACTTAGAGTACCCCCTTGCCGCAAAGGCAATATTCCTTTAGAAACATCCATGATTTCTCCGGGATTCAAACCTAGGCCCTACGGCACAGAAATCAGCGTCACTAACCAATATATCGGATGGGTGGCAGGATTTTGATTACGAGTATGAAGTGGAACATTGTTCAGGTTACAAAATGAATTATGTAAATGTATTAAATATATACTCAGTTACGATCATTCCCGATAGTCCTAAAGAAAATTTGAAAATTAAACCTTTTGATAAATTCATATTTTACTCTTATACAATTTCTATTTTATTAGTTCATAATATCCCTATATATATATATCTTGTTCAAACATTTAATTGTTAATAAAATACTTTCTATCCATCCACTCAAGTTCAAATACATTTTTTAAAACTTGTGGTAGATGACACTTGATATTAGTATAGTTTTTTGAAATATTAATTCATTAGTTAAACTTAATTAATGAATAAATAGTAACAAACAAATATAATAATCCAACACCATATATAAAAAGGAAACTTGTTCGTTGTGGCCCTGTAGCGCATTGGAAAGCGCGTTGGATTTCTAATTCAAAGGTCATGGGTTCGAACCATACCTGGGCTGACCTACATTCTGAGAAGGTGATTTATGATGAATAAATAGTAACGAACAAAAAATAATAGTCCAGCTCCATATATGGAAAGAAAAATTGGTTTCTATTTAGCCACTTAATATTGTGATTCGGTCATATGTATATACATATTTATATAAATTGCAATTATTTAATAAAAATTAACTAGAATAAAATTTATTTTTGTTGACCTAAGTATATATATATAGGAACTGACTTAATTTTTTTTCATATTTCTTACTTTTTTATGCTTCGCAAGTTATCTGAATGTGAGGAACACAATAAAGAATGGGCAGAATGACATTATACGGAATGCTCATCAGCATAGACATTGTGCCTCTGTATAAACAGCAATACTGAAACTAAAATATGAGTTGAATAAAGCACTACTTAACTGAGTCAAATTATTTGTTTCAAGGGAAAGAAAAAAAATTAAACTCTATTTCATTCAAAATTGCTCTTCATTACTTTGATTAATCGAAAATTCGGCAAATATAATGATGTAGTATACTCTATGGCAGAAGGGTCTAATTCCCTAATCAAAAAACCTATTAAACATTTAAGCGCATTCCTTTTTACGTATAAAAACTATACATATTTTCAGCCACTAATTTTGAATAAATTCATATGGCCTTACGCTATATATTCAACAAATGTAATGAAAGAAAAAAATAGAAAACAATGCAAAATTGGAGAATTAGAAATAAGTATTTGACAAACCATCTCTGTTTATTTCTGATAGCTATTTTGTATTTAACTCCAAAAGAGTTGTACAAAAACCAAAGTTTCCTCCAAAAAAAACTTATACTTCACAAACACAGCTGGATTATCAGCGGCAAATGGACCAAAAACTCCTTAAACTGTGCAATCAAATGTACAGATATCGATTATCGAATTTTCATAGATAATGCTGTAAAATGATATGTAGATTTCCGTACATTTCAAAAGTTTATAATTTTAACCAACATTCAAGTTGAAACATAAGCAAATGAATCCCACGTTTTAAAGTACAAAAGTTATTTTGAAACAGTGGAAGAACCCTCTCTTTTTATACAATACATGATAGATACAAGAAAATACATGTTTTATCCCCTCCTTCCCTCTTCTTCAATTGTTACAGTAAAAGATACTGTAAAAAAGCACATTGATAAACTACTTTAGAAAAAAAAATCGATGAATATGAATCGAAATATTTTGATCTTCTGGAACTTGTTTTTAAGCAAAATGGAAATGAATGCCGATATGTTTATTAATAAAGGTTTAATACGTTTCAAAATTGTAAAATTATCTTTAATGACGTATATTTTCGATCTGCAGTCGGATTATCTGTAGGGCAAGGTATGCATATATAGTGAATCAGAAATAAATTGCCTCAATTTCTCCATTTAGTATTTAATAATATTTGCATGTGCCATCGAGATTGTGAAATATACCCATCACGTTTGAACGCAGGAGAAATACATTAAATTTGATTGGTAATTCCCATGGAATACCGATGAATTTTGAAATGATCTAGCTGCTGAAGTTTGTGGCTTGAAGGCTATACAGTAGAATTATTCCAGCTGTTACTTTCTAAGAAAATCAAAACTTTCCCAGACTGAAATCGATACAAAGCAACCAATCAAAATCCTACCAGTCTTTGCAGAAGGCCACTGTAATCTCAATATTTAAAGACCTTGCTACTGATCTTTATCAAGAGACCGCACCAGTAAAAATATCAATCTTGATTGAAAAAAATATTAGAGCCATAAGGCTGTGTGTGGGTGTGTGGGAAGGGGGGGGTTGAACTTGTTTCTACAATTAATCCACAGCAGTATATTGTCTCAACAAGTGTTTTTACGATATATTCTACCATGGACAGGCTTTTGCAACAAGAACCGCAGTTTGTATTTATGTAAAAGACTCATTATCTGTCAGGATTTACAAAGATCTTATTCTAAATCAGGGGTGTCCAACACATGGCCCGCTAGTACGTATGTTGCGGCCCACTGACTCTTTTTTTTTAAAAAAAATTTAAATATCAGGTTTTTTCATTTTGAAAATTTATTAGGATATATATATATAATGTATATGCCTGTTAACTGATCTTGTTTTAAAATGAATCCTTTTTGATAATATAAATGTTCTTTCGATTAAAATAGATTTATATTTTATCAAACAGTTACGTTTGATGTTACTGTAATAAATTTTTTTTAATAAATTCCGCGAATTGCATTATGCATAACCTTTACTATGGATGGTACATGATTCACTGTGTGTGCGGCTTCCATTTATCCTCCTCTTTTTCGGTTTGGAGTGCCCAAAAAGCAAAAGGCAATCTCTCAGAGATGTTTTTAAAAGTTTAAAAAATATTCAGGAGGGTTAAGATAAAAGGCAATATATATTTAATCGTTTGAGAATCGTTTCATCAATGAGAAATGGAATATCAATTTAAAAGGAACTCCGTAATTTTCAAGAAAATGGCAACTGTAATATTTTAAACATTATTTGATCATTTTATTATTATTATATTATATAAACATTATTATATTATCTATGTCTGATACATGAAAAATAATGAAAATGATAATAATTCATTCTGTTTTAAATTTTCACCCCAATAAATGTTTTTTGGTTTCCAAATCTTATATCAATGTACATATTTTTATGTGCGGCCCGCGAGATTATAATGTTTTCTGAAGTGGCCCGCAAGATAATTTGGGTTAGACACCCCTGTTCTAAACAATCATTTAGAATCCAACAAGTCATAATACAAATGTCGTTATTGAAACTATGACTAACAATTTTAGTTGAAGATGACCATATATATTTGAAATATGTGCTGCCCCTGACTCGTGCTATCATTAACACCTATATATGTGGGAACACTGGACTTATGCTATTGCCTACCTATAGTTTGGTCGGGTGACTGATGTTGTGTGTATGATGTTTGAGAAGTGTTTGACAATAACTTTTTGTCTGAGATAATACCGCTTCTAAGAAATATTTCCCCTTAATATCTGATAACAGGGAGCAAGTTGAACAAAATTGAGATAAATGTAGAAACATTTTCAACTATGAATAGTGACAAATTATTTTTTAAAGAAAAAAATCTAACGATAAAGTGCAGAAGAAGTTGTCATTCATTCCTTCAGTAACAGATATTGTCAAAATTAATACACTTAAAAGAAAAGTACTTTATGCAGCTCTTACGTTAAGGCCAGCCATTTTGGTCATTATGTTGAGGCCTTGCCATGCCAAATCATTCTTTAAGAACATATCACGTTCAGCACTAAAAAAATCTCCAGTAAAAAGAAACATCGAGCTTACGGCATCGATACAAGACAGATACCATTACATCAGATATTTTTGGTTTATTCGTGGGGACGTCCTCAGTGCCTGAAAGGAATTCTGTAATCGCGCACTATACTTGCAACTCAACCAACAAGTTGGCGGAGGAGTGTTACATAAAATGCACTCATCTATTGAAAATAGATGTAATAGCACCCTGCTGTTGGTTTCAGCTCCAACCGTATATTTTTGTGGGAATTATTTACTTAAGTTTTAAATAACTTAGACTACATAAGCTGAAAATTGGTTGTCATGATCGCCTTTGCAGCTGTGCTTTACACAAATAAGAAAATCACTTATACTAATCATTTATAATATTGAAAATTTTAGCTTTTTCATTTAAATATTCCTTAAAAATAAATTGAAGTTTATTCATCCGTAATCAAAATTAATTATTTTTAATTGAAAATTATTTTAAGAAAATTTATTAATTAGTATATTTTTACGTAGAAATACATTATTAATTTTGGTAATGATTATTTTAATAAAGTTAAACAAGCACTTAGTGTTTTACAAAATATGTGTAGATTCTCTCAATAAACTTAAATGATATTTTTTATAATTTATGTAACATGATGAGTTTATATTTTAAAGTGTTTTTAGTGGAATTTATGTGAACAGATTATTATTATTTTTACTTATCGTAAAGTAATTTACAATTTCTAAGACTTTAATATTAATAAAAAGAGTATTAATGATGCACACTGAGACATGAGTATTTTATAAATTTAAATTAATGCTCGCAAACTTTATTAGCACAAAAAATGTATGACAGTGCATTTCTGTAAGAAAAATATAAGCATGTACTAAATATCTGGTAATATATATATAAATTGAAAATGAAATGGAGCTTGAATAAAATCTGTAGCCTTTTTTTTAATACTTAATATTTCTTTAAGAAAACATTATTTTTTCCTTTTCATATAAAATTGTCACACTTCAATTATTTTCAGTTTTCAGTAATTATGGCAAATAAAAAATTGGTTGAGTTAGTGCAATATATATATTTCCTTATATTTTGTTTTCAAGGGATAAAAATTCTATATGAAATTCCTGAGATAAAAATTTTATTGTGCGACTTTTTTTTTTTTTTACATTTTTAATGTTACTTTTTAATAATCTTTTATAATTTATCTGTTAAGTTTCTTGGAACTCACCAATTTATTTTTTGAAATTTAACTTTTAAGTGAGTAAAGTCTTGTTTAGTCAATCCTGAATAGTTTCTTTATTGCTGTTCACTTGCGGCGGTTTCACTCTATTCCAACTCAATAAAAACACTATAAAAATTTATTTAAGTGATGAATTATACTGGATAACAACGGAGTTGTGCTTCTTAAGAGAAAATACTCTATCCTGAATGAATCTAATGTTCTTAATAATACACATGAATAACACATTGAAAAAAGCTAATTGGTTGTCGTTTCTGAGTTATTTAGGTTACAAAGGTGTTTGTTACAAAAGTGCTCTGGTGTAATGCTATATATGTATTACATTATATTATATATTTTATTGTTTTATTATACTATTTAATGGTTGTTATATTTAAATAATATATCATATAGACATGTCTTATTATAACAATGCTATGCAGCTACATATCCCACTAATATAATAGATTAGATGATTTAACGCAGCTTATTAACCACTTTGATGTTTGTTATTT